TATCTCTATATTTTATTTTCATTAGTTTCTCTTCATTAAAAATTGAAATGCTATGAATGTTTTTAATTATAGAGAGTATGTTTGACTTTTTAAATTTGAAGAGTTAATCTCACTCTCTAAATTAAAATGTTAATTTAAAAAGTCATTTAAAATATAATTTTAAGGGTTGACTGTTTAAAATATAAAGTATTTTATAATTAAAGAGCTTTTAGAGGATGCTCTAAAAACTCATAATTTCAAAAACTTTAAATATGTACTTAATTTATTAAATAAATTTTTTCTTTAATCTTGTCTGGTTGAGCTTGTCAAATTTACATAAAGAGAAGAACAAGGTACAAGTGAAGGAGTGAGTTGCCTTTTGCAGCAGCAATCCCATAGCAATAATGAAAAAAGAAACAAAAACAGTTTTCACACATCCCAAACCCAACTTCAATCCATTTGCTTGAGAGTCATAATCAATGACCAACTCCCATAAAAACAGTTTTCAAACATCCCAAACCCAAATTCAATCCATTTGCTTGAGAGTCATAATCAATGACCAACTCCCACAGCACAGAGAAATCAATAGATTTTAATCAAGTGATCAATTGAAAAAGAAAACAAACTTCAATAATCCTATTATATAAAAACTCGTTTTCAATCCTTTCGATAAATGGAGCTCAAACGCACCCTAAATAAAAAGTTATGGCTGTTACGCAGTCACTAGTTTTTTATCGTTCCTCTCACCTTATTACATTTAACTAGCAATCAGATAGAGATTAGTGGAAAATAAATCGAAATCAAATGTACAAAATACATATAAGTTTCTAGAAAGAAGGGGAAGAGTTCATCGTTTCAACAAAAATGCTATTTGCATTTGGCCTATACAGATAGCATAACCCCATTACAGTCGGTGATTGACGAAGAACATGGTTGGAAAAAGCAACAACGTCCTAAACTATGATAACATTTTCTAATGAATTAAAGAGTATGTGGTGGCAGGCAAAGGGAATCTTTTCTGGATTTTTAATTTACAAATTTTATGATCACATATATCGATACACACAATAATAGATTCGTTTGTCCCGTCCCGTCTTTTCCTATTTTCAACTATTGCATATATTATTAGAGGTTGTTTGTGAGAGATTAAAATCATATTAAAATTGAAAATATAGTCGTTGGAGTTGACTTTTATTAGATGAATGGGACCCAATAACGACTATATTTTCAATTTTAATTAGATTTTAATCTGTCCCAAACAAGCTCTTAATAATGCGCATTATATCGAAGAATTATTAAACGTCACAACCTCCTCTTGTCTTTTTACTTCGATATTTTTTCATTTCCATTATAATAATCACATATATCACTATGTGTGTAATTATGAGTTATTTTCATTATTACATGTGTATGTGTCTCGCCTCCACTTCTTGTCTTTTTACTTCGTTGTTTTTTCTTTTCCATTATAATAATCACATATATAGTGTAATTATGAGTTATTTTCTTTTTCTTCGTTTATTTTCCTTTTTCATTTTTAAAGAGAACATATATGTTGGTCCTAGATTTAAGTTTAACTTTATAACTCAATGTTTTAAAATAAGAGGGAAAAAAAAATCACGAACAAAATAGCAAGAAAAGCAAAAAAGAACACGAAATTTTTTTGGCCAAAGGTCATAGAGGTTCAACAATTGCTTCTAACGCTTAGCTCCCCGTTGAACATTCATTAGGTCTAAGCTCGAATTCACTAGCACCGCCCAAAACATGCAAAGTTTCGATGACAAGAACACCAAGCTCTTAGGACTTTTTGCACTTACAGAATCCTCAAAATTAGTATGAACTCACACGAGAAATATCGATGTTTTTCTCCCTCACAATAACACAAAGTATTTACATAGAAAATCACCACCAAAAACACACAGAGGAGATGAACGAAAGAGAGAGAAGCTGCTAGGGTTTCAGAATGAAACCCCAAAGTCATAAGCCTCATATTTATATGAAACATAGCCAGTTGTATCATCAAACGGTGCAAAAACAGCCACATGTCAGTAATCCAGCAAATGTGCCTTTTCAATTTAAAAGGTGTTTTTACCATAATTCCAGATTCTTCAGCTTATTGGATCATCAGTTTAGGCCGTAATGACAATAGAACCAGTAGCAGATAGTCCAAATATTTGGTCTTCACAAAATTCAGCAATCCAATTTCTACAATCTCCACATATGCTGCATTTTGTGGCTGTACTTCAATGGGTTCTAACTCAATCATCTCAACTTCATGCTCTCTTATTACCCGTTCACAAAAAGAAAAATTAGCAAACTTCAAGATTTAAAAGTCTCAAAGAATCTAAAAACTTATTAAATGGTATTACCTTTGTACCTGTATCAATAGGATTTACCTTAGTGGGAATTTTGATCAACTTAATATCACCCATATTAATTATATCTCTAATAAAGTGAAATTTGACATCTATGTGCTTAGATTTATCATGAAAAAATTGGATTTCTACTTAAGAAAATAATACTTTGATTGTCTAAACATAGCTCCACCTAAGTTTCTATGAGTCCTAATTCATTTAATAAGCCTTTCAAGCATAGACCTTATATTTTGCTGCCTCAGAGACAACAATGTATTCAGTCTCAGTTGAGAATAAAGCAACCAATTTCTGAAGTTGAGATTTCCAGTTAATGTATGTATTATTTATCACATGAAAATATGCAGTTGTGGACTTCCTATTGTATAAGTTTCCAATAAAAGCAGAGTGAACATAGCCTTTCAATTTAAGGCCATCTTTATCAATTTTAAACGCGAGTCTTAGTTGACATATACCTTTCAAGTATTTAATCAAGTTTTTCATAGCTTCCTAACAAAACTCACTTTGATTACTCATGAATCTACTTAACACACTTATAGCATAAGCTATATCAGGTCTAGAGCACACCATTACATACATGACATATCCAACAATATTAGCATATGGCCTTCTTTGAGAAGAACTAAAAAAAGCAATAAGCTTTGAAGCCAAACTTAAATGAGAATTTAACGAAAATAAATATTAGCGGATGAATTTAGAACAATATATTTTTATTTAATTTTATGTGTGTCTATTTAGATAAATTTACATAAGATTAAAAATATAATATAATTATTTTCTTAAAGTGGATGTATATGTAAAAACTATGGAGAAATAACGCCATCCAAAGAAAAGAACTCGGGCACTCAAACTTTGTCCCTATTAAGCTGTAGTTTTACTGGGATGTTTCCTTTGTTAGTTTGTTATATTTAAATTTTTTTTAAGTGGAAAATTACATGAACCAAGTGTTTTTAAGATCTCAATTCATATTTATGAGTTATGAGTTTTTTTTTTATTTTTAAGAAATAGATATAATTAAAATTTTAAATATTAATAATAATATTATAAAAATTATTTTACATATCCACCCCGCTACCATCAACCTTACCAAATCCTAATTATTTCCCTATCTCTTCTTTCTCTCTCTATACAGCTATAGCCGACCCTCTCCCTCCCAATCACCTTTTTCTATCTGTACACAACGGGGACGAGTGCCGTGCATAGAGCGAAAACAACGAGCACCACTCAGTTGCTAAGCGGCGACGCAAGGAAGGAACGACTATAGGTGGTGTTGCTTCCAGTGAAACCAAGTGAGCGCCTCTATGTTGCCGCATGTCAGATCAGCGCTGGTTCAGTCCCCTGACTCTTGCCTCTTGCTCCTTTGCTGATTTAGCCTCATCGCACAGACGCACACCATGGTCGAGAAATGTTGTGTGTCGTGGCTGGGATTTGCAACACCTCTATCTGGTGTGGATTTTTTGGGTGTATTTTCAATTGTTGGGTGGGGGATATGGTGGTGGTGTTTCTGTGGCGATGGCTTTGTTGGATCCAGTTTTTGCGGATGTTATGTTGTATCTAGTGGTGGCTGTGGTTTCGTTGGTAGCGATGGTGGTTGATCTTGTTGCTGGCGATGGTGGTTTTGAAGTTAAAAACGGTGGTTTGTTGGAGGTGGCAACGGTGGTGCCGGAAGGTGGTAGCGTTGGTTTGTTTGAGATGGCGATGTTGTGTCGAGAGATGGTGGTGGTTCTAGCAATAGTGGTGTTGGCGATGGTATTGCTGGAGGCAGGGATGAAGAGGTGGTTACAAGGGTTGGTGGTGGTCACAAATCATTTGGTTGATTGTAATCAATAAATTGGTTAATATGTGAGGAATAAACAATATGCGACCAATGCAATAGATAAATCGTGATTAAAAAATAATGTGTGAACTAAAAATTTGTTAATTTGTGATCAATAATTGATAAATTGTGACCGTGTAATAAATTGAGACTTATAAAATTAGTGATTTGTGATTGATAAAAAAAATTGTGACGTACAATTTTTTTTATTTGTGATCTTGAAAAAATTTATGATCAATTAATTCGATAATTTGTGATCAATATTATAAAATTGTGATCTTAATATGTTTAATTAATGATTTCATGAATAAACTTTAATTAATATGCGATTTTCGAAATTTTAAACCTCGTTTCTTAGTTTCGAAATTGATGGTGATACTTAATCTCTTATGTATAAATTTTTCCCTTTTTTAAAATATTGTTGGGTTTCCTCCTCGTCGATTATTGGGCCAAGTCCAACAAATAGTTTAGTAATGAGATCCAATATAAATAGATGACTAAAGGGGGACTAAGTAGCAATTCGAGGAGTCCTCATTTAACTACAAATTGGATGAACGTATTTTTGTGGGATTAGCATGGAAAGTATAGCCACAACTTCAATTCATGCTATACATCATATGGCCACATCTTCAATTCATACTTCCTTGTATAACATTATCTGATTAATAAAAATATTGCTAACATTACTGACTCGAGAAATAGTACTAGAGTCGACGAAATTTCTAGAAATATAACTAGAACTAGAAGCCTCCATTCTTCAAAACATAAGCTACAAGCATTTATTCATTTTGCCGTGTTCATTTTGGGAAGGGGGTATGGGCAAATCTCCATGAGATTCATTTTGGGAGGGGGGTATTGGCAAATCTCCACGAGACCCGTTCAAGAGCTTCAGTAGGAGTTTTTGAACCTGCCACTTCATTGATGGGAACTGCATCCGAAACCTCTTTCAAATCATCTTTTGTAAGCTTTACTTTCACGGCACCAATATTTTCATGGAGATTTTTCATTTTGGTTGTACCTGCGAATATTATAGATTGATTGACATATTATTGCAGGAATCAAAATAATTCATGAGGTTAATATAATAATATAAATTTCAATCATCATTCAATTACAATATTGACAAACAATTTTCTAATCAAAACAAACTAAATGTCCGTTTGACATGACTTTTGTTTTATATAAAACAGCTTCTTGATGAGGCTATCTTAATTTTTATTCGAAAATTAATTTTTTTAAAAACTTCATATTTAAAAAGTACTTTTAAAAGAAGCCATTAGCCCCTGTTTGTCCTACATTATTTTTACCTTAAAATGAGTTTTTTTGATTGTTTTAGCCTGATTTGTGGGTCCCACCATAGAGAGATTTTGGTCAAAAATGGTGGCCAAATCCCTATTTCAACGGTCATATTTTTACTTAAAATGCCAAACAAACATGGGCTATATTAGCTTCTTTTAAAAACTCTTATAACAAAGAAGTATTTTTATAAGATTTGCCAAACGAATCCAATAGCTCCCTTTAGCTTCTCAAAAGTCTTGTCAAACGACCGTAAACATGTCAAATTCTTACAAACTCTAAAATATTTATAGTAAGCTTCTTATATGAATGCGCTTACCCGGTATAGGTACAACATCATCTCCTTGATGAAGAACCCATGCAAGCGCAAGTTGAGCAGGGGTGCATTCATGCTTTTTAGCTAACTTCTCTATACGAAAATAGATGTCTTTATTTTTATCAAAGTTCTGCCCTGTAAACCTTGGATGATATTCCTAATGATATGAAAATTAGGCAACCATTTAGCAAATGCAGATTACTAAAATGAAGAAATTACACAATGAGAATTAGAAGATGTAAATGCATACACACCAATGAACTATTTGGAGGCACGCTTTCCACTATGGCCTTCCCAGCAAAAAACCCTCGGCCTACTGGACTGTATGGGACTATTCCGATCCCAAGTTCCCTAATCATCGATTTCAAAAAGAGAAAGGAAACCCTTTTATGAGAACATGATCATTTAAATTGCAATTTGCCAAAATGTTAATATGTAATATTTGAACAATCAAGACTCTAATTGATATATTTGAGAAATATGAAAACCTGCAAAGAGGAATTATTTCTTCTTCGATATCACGAGTCCAAAGGGAATATTCCATTTGTAGAGCACTAATAGGATGAACTGCATGAGCCCTCTTTATTGTATCTGGACTAGCTTCAGATAATCCAATATATTTTATTTTACCTTCGCCTACTAACTTTTTAAGTTCTTCCATCTGCAACTCAAAAACAAATTTATCAGCAGGTCCCAATATTACTTAAATAGAAAAAGAAGCAAGCCGACAAAATGAGGTTAATGGCCAATGATCAAAATGGCTACATAAGACCAAATAAAAGTAAATAAAAATACTCACGGTCTCTTCAATAGGTACGGTTGTATCAATTCGATGTATGTAGTAAAGATCAATATAGTCCACACCAAGACGTTTTAGACTGTCTTCACAGGAAGAACGAGCATATTCAGGTGAACCTTTCACTATAACTTCAGAAGGAGTAACTTTAACTACACCAAACTTTGTAGCTAATTGAATTTTTTCTCGAGGTAATTGCTTTAATGCCTGCAACAATGGAATGTCTCAAGTAAAATCACTCGAAGGTGACCAACGAAATACTCATGTGATCAGTCAGTGGCCCTAAAGCACGAACACTTCAACTAGGGTAACGTGTCCGTATTCAACACGTGTCAATACCGACACTTCTCAGACACTCTACCATAAAAACTCAAAGTTATTAGTAAATAACAAATAGGTACTCATATTTAAAAAATTCAAGAAAAATTAATAACAAGTATAAAATTAAATTTATACTATATAAATGAAGAATTTTAAAGAATTTAATCAATGTGTCGACGTGTTGTGATAGTACTTTTTTGAAAAATCGTGTGTCTACGTGTCCGACACGACACGTGTCTATGTCGGTGCATCATAGGTTAGTGGATTCTGAATCAATAGTCATCTAATGGTCCATTAGAGCAAAGTTGAAGTTAGTTATAACTTAAAAAATAACTTAAATACCAATACCTTTCCCACCAAGTATTCATTGGCAAAATTCACACCATAAATATTGGATGTGTCAAAAAACGTAATGCCTTTATTAAATGCCTCTTTGATTATCGCAATTCCCTCATCCTCAGGAACTGGAGGATTGTAGTTACCTGTAAGCCCCATACAACCATAGCCTAACTTTGATACCTGCAAAGAAAAAAATTATATCATTGAATAAAGCAATAAGATTCGATGAATGACAGTGTTTGATCTTTGAGAAAACAACTGCAAGTGATTCGATGTTGGAATTTCTTTAAACAGAAATATATTTTGTCGTTTGTTATTATCAATTTATCGTCAAATAGAGAGAAAAAGACGACGTAATCTCATGTTAAAGTGAACTTTTATGAATTCTACATGTTCTCATGTGTCGTTATGTGATTTTATTAAGAATTAACAAATTGATCGACGATTTTCAGAATGATAAAGCATCAACCAGAAATGTTAACTAATGTATTCAAATGGGATTTATGAAATGAATTGAATCGAATCTGAAAATGACAAAGAAAAGTAGGATTCATACCTCAAGTCCTTGTGTTCCGAGTTTCACTCGGGGCATTTCAAGTTGTTCAGACATTGCTAACTTTCTTCTTTCGGTTCAAACTCACACGCTTCGTTTAGTGAGTTGAAGATCCACCCCCACCATCTTTGCTTATATAGGAAAGGAATATTCTGGATGGCCGACATCATGGATTACGTTATGTCCAGACTCCACGTCAGCAATTCCGTATCGTACTGGAATTTGGTGGAGGAATTTTTGCATTTCAAACATAAAACAGTGCAGTCAACTTGTAAAAGGATAAACCCGAGCCTCAACACAGCAAAACCAATATTTGGTGCTTGCAGTTTGAATTTGAAAAAGATTTGGATCAGATTTTTCTCGAGCTTTCAATACTATCCATTTCTTTATAAGATTTTAATGTCTAGAATTTTCTTTTCTAATGATCACATGTATCAATATACGAGCTATTTCGATAACATTGTTTGAGTCCCATTTTTTGAAAAAATAAATAAATTTTTGAACCACATATTTTTTAATAAAATAATATTACACGCAAACTCAAAATTTTTTCTTATTTTTTAACCACACATTTCTCATCAATACACTAAAAAATGATTTTTTTTGATAAAACTGGGCTCAAACAAGCCCTAGTATTTTTGTTTCAGCTTGTCTACATTACATCATTATTTTATTTTTCTTACTATGCTTACATTTATTTACTTGTTAGCAAAAAATGTTTTTTTGTTAATTCGCATTATAGTTTTTAGTTGTTGCTACCACTACAACAAAGTTCACCTTTTATGGCATGCATTGCATGACGTAAATAATTCTTTATGGCGTACAGCAACACGCCGTATAAAGCAATACCGTAAAAAGTGGCTCACTTTTTTACGACGTGCAGTGTAGGCCGCCTAGATAACACCGTTATTACCTTTTACGGCGTTTAGTGAATGCACGCCGTAAAAAGTGATATACTTTTACGGCATGCCTAAATTTACGGCTTACCTGGTAGCACGCCATTATTACCCTTTTCGGCTTTTAGTGAATGCATGTCTCTGCACACAGTAAAGATCAATTTAATTTTTTAAAAATTATTTATTTATTTGATTACCAGCAAATCTATAATACTTTCAAAACAAAATTAATCCATAAATAATCAAGTTTTTCATTGTTTCGATAAATAAAAATATTGAATACAGTTCAACACAGTATGTCAATGTAAAATTGATCTCAACAATTCTCAAAAGACTACTACTTCAAAAAAATAAAATGATTAAACCATATCAAAGTTAACTTCTTTGATCAACAATTTAGTTATTCCACAAAATATCAATTCCCTGCATACCACAAAAATAATAAGGGTATAATTAATAAACTTAGAGTGAGCATGTAAATCAACAGTATATTAATAAATATATTTACTTTTATCTAATTAACATAGTACAAATGACAAGTAAAAATGATTAACATATGTGTTCTAACAGAAATTTATCTATAAACACCATACCTTCCAAAAAATGATTAATAGTATAGCTAGAATACTAACATATAGAGACCTCAAGTCATTTTATATAAATAATCATCTTGGCAACCGAATAAAAAAATTTGATGTTCAATTCAAATAAACCACCCATCAACTTCTTGAATTTAGACAGTTGGGACTGAATGTAAATGCAAATGGCATTAAAATAGAAAAGAAGTTAAGTATACCTTTGTTATGATTACGGTGAATCCAATTCGATGTACCTAATTGGCCATGCAATTGTACTTCCTAATGCATCTTCAAGAAGAAAAAGTTCACGTGTGGGACGATACAAGCTGACATTATCTCTCACTTCATAAACCCAAACTCTCAAACATTCGT